CACAAAATATTTTTAACCACAATTCAGCTATGAATAATGTGGTTTATAGAATCGTTCTGCAGGTAAACCTCTGTATATGTAACGATTGAGTAAAGTGCGTTTATATTATACGGGCAAAGTGTGTGAGTTGTTTATTACTTAACTAAACCATTGAAATAATTTTATGATAAATACATAATCAAAATATTGTTTTCGCTATTATTACCGAAACCTGGGGTAGGGTATATGAATTTATATCTGATGAATGGGTCTAGGTAAATTACCTAAATTTTGTAAACTTTTTCATAAAATATTAATATATCTGTTAAAATTTATTTGAGATAAATCGGTCAATTATTTAAAATTTTATACGGGATCAAGTAATTCCATTTTTATACGCGTTATTCTTTAGTATAGGGATTACAATAAATAGTAATGTAATACTAATGAAATGTTTGGTGTGCTTACGGTTCGCATTGAATTAATACTCGAGATATTAATGATATTTCCTTTAGTTTTCTCCAAATACTCGACACATAAATGCGTTAAATAGACGACAGAATCCAAGTTAACAGACATTAAATTTATGTAATTGTCGTAAAAGTTATCGTCTGTAATGTTGCCGTAGAAGAGGGCGCCCGCGTTATTGACCACAATATCCAGTTTACCGAACCGTCCGATAGTCTGGTCGACCAGACGTCTGAGATCTTCCCGATCGGTCACATCCGCCAACACTTCCAGAGGTTTAATCCCTTTCGGCGATACATTGAGACATTGTTTGGCCACTTCTGCCACTTTGTCTGCATTACGACCGGTGACCACAACACTGGCACCCGATTGGGCCAACTGTACGGCAATGCCGGCACCGATACCTCCACTCGAGCCCGTGATTAGCGCCACTTTACCCGTGAAATTGTATTTAACAGACATTATGTGAGCTACAAATTTCAATTAGAATAAAATATTTTTATTATTTAATTAAATTTTTAATGAATTTATATTAAATTTCATTTATTTTAAAACATATTTTTAATAATATTTAATATAAGTTTAAATGACATTAATGCATTTTAATTAATCGTCATTAAATTTATCAATTGATCATATTAGGCAATATCAGGCAATCATCTCAATAATTATTATTAACGCTATAAATTATGAGTTATAACTAAAGTTAGCAAAAAAGGGGATAAAAATATTTAAATTGTTGTAATCGTTAAAATACACAAAACTAGTGTTCGCTAAATACACAATAATTAAACCCAATACTCAGTTTGGGTTTAACGAAAATAACTTTTAAAATAAATTATTGATTGTAATTTAAAAGTTGACATTTATTTTAGAGACACTAAAAATATAACAGAGGTTAAAAAATTTGAACAATAAATTAGGCGATTATTTATCTACAAAACTAAAACAATTTTTCGATAGTAAATTGCGAAACCAAGAATAGGGTTTAATTGTTGGATATTCAACTAACTATGGTCTCGTATTTTTACAAAAAAATTATTAACAATTAGGATAGTACATTTGTATTAGCAAATATAGTTACTTATATTTAAATATATAATTTTTCAGCTTCATAGGTTAACATGCAAGTTGCAGTTGCCAGTTATATTTTTGTTTATAAGTAATAAACCATAATATGGATTGAATTAACAAGAGAGATGTAAATGTAAAATATAAATTAAATACAAAACTTCAGTTAAGTGGCCTTAGATAAAAACTTTTATTAATAATATTTATTTTTCATTATAATAAATTAATACAATCAAAAATGTTTGTCAATATTCAACCACTTGTTTAGTAAATCGTTTTGATGGCAATTATGCAGTGCTCTGAGCGCTGGCCACCCATTCTTGGCCGACGACAGGGCGTACACATGGGTCGGGTCCGTGCGGTACGAGTGGGCGCCCAATACAAGTGACTGACAGAATCGGGCCTTAATGCACGTCTATTTACATCGAGGTGAACGTAAAATTATATTAATTTAATAAAATTATATGTTATAAAATAGTTGCAATTTAATTAATTTAAAACACAAAACAGACAATACTAACGGACAGGACGTTTAGCTCATTATCCGTGAGTTTAATGAACTCGGTATAGCCCTTGAGGCCAAACCCGGGCGCCAGTATCTGCGGTCCGGCCGTAAACATAAGCATACTATAGCACAGATAAATAGCCAGATCAAACACACGCGGCGCGTACTGTACGTCCGAGAAGTCAATCACACCGCGCAAGTGGTACTGGCCGTCAACATCGGGTAATGTCTTGTCCACAATAATGTTCATCTCGTTGTAATCTCCGTGAATGAACGAGTGCTCAAACGTGTCCAGCCGTTTGATGACTGTCCGCTCGAACTCGTCCAACGCCGCCGACACTATCGCCCGGTCCTCCAGATTCTGGACGGCGTCCAAGTATTGCCGTACGTCCAGCACCTGCAGCAATGACCATGGTGACCCACGGCCACGTCTCAGCACTGGGCTGTCATATGTCTGTTCAAAATAGTGATTATGGTAATAATGATTATGCGTGCGGACATTAGTATGTGTATAGACCTGGAGGGCGATTGTCATCTTAGCCAACACTTGGCCGCACTCCGTGAGTATGGCCGGAGTGAAGGGCACATCCCGGAGCAGTTGACCGCTGACGTACTCCAATAGTCTGACCC